GTTTAGCTCACAGCTTTTCTGTCCCGTTTATTCTAAATCTGTGCCATCTGTGCTTCCTCCCTGACACTGAACCTGCTCTTTATCTTCATTTCTGGACCCTCAGTCTTTAACTCCTCTCCCTGCTCCGTGGTTCCCTGACCCTCTCTGCTCACCCACTCTCGACCAGTGGCAGGCTGGGGCCGGACTTGGAAATGACAGTAGTAGACTATGGTTGGCTAAGGCAAAAAAAACACTGTATAGAAAACACATGGAAGTCTCACAAAATAGAAAGAGAGCCAAGACCCAACAGCCAGCGGGGGCTCTCGGGGGCAAGGAGGCCAGGCTCCTTGGGGACCAATCCTCAGGACTGACAAGTACGAGCAAATTGCTGGCCTCGAGTCATCAACTTGATGATTCAATGTCAGAAAGAATCGAATGTGTCTAGTTTGGACCATGTTCCCACATCACTGGTGTTAGATGTACACAGTGTGGTGGTGGAAATAGAAGATGGTGTGGCGCCAAAGGAAGGTCAAGGTCCTATTACCAGGATGAGGGGGACTGGATACTGGGCAGGTGGAAACACACACATCCATCAGAATGCCTCACGCAGGACATGACACAGTAAAGAGACACGGTGTCCACTCCCAGGGCAGGGCGCTTCTGAATGTAGCCACAATCCTCTCTGTTGAAGGTCATAAGCTCAGACTGATAACGAAACTTCCCTGGAATTAGCTCATGCTAACCTCTCACTGCAGGATGGGGCAAAGCTGATGGATTTTGTTTATGCAAACTGACCATTTGCTAATCTTGCAGCCATATTCCAACTATTGTCCCACAGGATATGAGATAAGTTTCGCATGTATCAGGAAGGGTGAGTCTGAAACAGCCTGTCAGTTCAATGAGGAATTAGACAGAGGAAGATGGGCTTTCTAACAGAAATTCTGGAGCTCAGCGTCCCTTCACAGCTCACCAAGTCCAAGACCAGCTTTGCTCTGGAGCAGAGAAGTGAGCGCCCTGCGTCGGGAAGAGCTAGGCTAAGGGAAGACGGGCATTCCTGTCCCGGGTCTGCCACTGGCCAGCTGATGTCATTAGACATCAGTTCCTCTCCTTAAGCCTGTTTTCTCATCTTTAAAATCCTCATAATAAACTTCTCTGAATCTACAGCCAAAAGGCCAAGGCAGGATCATGTGTGGTGCTGTCCATGACTCCACCCTAGGACTCGCCTCACTGAGCATGACTCTGTGTGTGTGCCCGTGTTTTCCATGGTGCGTGGGCTTCCACGGCAGGAAGTCTTATTCGTAACTGCGTTCAGGACACACAGTGCAGTGACTGATGTATAGTGAGGTCTTATTGGATGTTTGCTGAATGAACAAATGAAGATGCCTCAGAGGCCAGACTCTATTACCTGAGAGGACGCCGTGATCATAAAGCCTGAGGGGGGCCCTCTTCCGCAGGGCTCACCCCAGAGAAAGGACACCTGGCTCAGGTGTCCTGGCAGGACCTCCCCGTGCCCCCACTGTTCTGTGCTTCAGCAAACCTCTCTCTCTTCGGGGCCTACTGAAGATGGAAAATCAGATACATATGGAGGGAGCAGGTCAGCTGGAGCCCCCAAATTTCTGGAACTAATAGAATGAGAGAATTAGATTAGATTGAGCCTCACCCAGGGCTTTGAAGAACCCTTATAGCTGGACAAAAACAGACTATGCTCCTTAGGTCTCCTCGTGGTGGCATGGTGGGGTGGGGGTGGGGGTGTCAAGAAGGGTCTGGAGTTGCAGCACTGCCCAGGGTCATGGCATTCAAGTAATGACCGCCAGGCAGGGCAAGGTCTTGCTCTCTAAAGGCCATCCAAGGACATGAGAGTCACAGACAGACCCCGCACAGTTTTCTCCCCAGGTTCCAAGACCAGCTTTGCTCTGGAGCAGAGAAGTGAGCGCCCTGCGTCGGGAAGAGCTAGGCTAAGGGAAGACGGGCATTCCTGTCCCGGGTCTGCCACTGGCCAGCTGATGTCATTAGACATCAGTTCCTCTCCTTAAGCCTGTTTTCTCATCTTTAAAATCCTCATAATAAACTTCTCTGAATCTACAGCCAAAAGGCCAAGGCAGGATCATGTGTGGTGCTGTCCATGACTCCACCCTAGGACTCGCCTCACTGAGCATGACTCTGTGTGTGTGCCCGTGTTTTCCATGGTGCGTGGGCTTCCACGGCAGGAAGTCTTATTCGTAACTGCGTTCAGGACACACAGTGCAGTGACTGATGTATAGTGAGGTCTTATTGGATGTTTGCTGAATGAACAAATGAAGATGCCTCAGAGGCCAGACTCTATTACCTGAGAGGACGCCGTGATCATAAAGCCTGAGGGGGGCCCTCTTCCGCAGGGCTCACCCCAGAGAAAGGACACCTGGCTCAGGTGTCCTGGCAGGACCTCCCCGTGCCCCCACTGTTCTGTGCTTCAGCAAACCTCTCTCTCTTCGGGGCCTACTGAAGATGGAAAATCAGATACATATGGAGGGAGCAGGTCAGCTGGAGCCCCCAAATTTCTGGAACTAATAGAATGAGAGAATTAGATTAGATTGAGCCTCACCCAGGGCTTTGAAGAACCCTTATAGCTGGACAAAAACAGACTATGCTCCTTAGGTCTCCTCGTGGTGGCATGGTGGGGTGGGGGTGGGGGTGTCAAGAAGGGTCTGGAGTTGCAGCACTGCCCAGGGTCATGGCATTCAAGTAATGACCGCCAGGCAGGGCAAGGTCTTGCTCTCTAAAGGCCATCCAAGGACATGAGAGTCACAGACAGACCCCGCACAGTTTTCTCCCCAGGAGCATGCATGTGTGGGCTGCAGTACTGACAATAGTTAATGCATGTGTGGGCTGCGGTATTGACATAGTTCAAATGTGGAGGCAGCCCAGGTGCTCAGTCTTAGATGGCTGCATAAACGAACTGTGCCCTGTCTTTACAATAGCACGTTATTCAACCTTAAAAAAAAAAGAAGGAAATTCTGACACAGTTAAAACGTGGATACAACTTGAGGGCATTATACTAAATGAAATAAGCCAATCACAAAAAGACAAATACTGTATGATTCCACTCAAATAAGGTTGGCCTCATAGAGGCAGGAGGTGGTGTGGTGGGTCTGGGGGCTGCAGGGAGGGGGAATGGACTGTGGCTGACTAATGGGTACAACGCTTCAGTTCTGCACGATGAAAACGTTCTGGAGACGGCTGTGCAGCAACGTGACTGTTTCTAACACTATCGAATCGTACATTTAAGATGGCTAAGATGGCTAAGAGAAAGCTAGAGAGTTAATTCTGACCGCATCACTAACACAAGGAGCTCAGAGATTAGACTTCCCAGAGGAGCGCCATGGGATCAGAATGTCAGCGCCGGGGGTAAAAGAAGAAACCAAAGTGAGAGGCAGAGCGACAAAGCAGCAGGATGAACCCACCGACGTGACCCCGGGCTGCCCTGCCGCTGGAGAGCAGGTGCGGTCAGCTCAGCCTCCTGTCCAAGTCGCGGCCCAAGGCGGCCCCAAACCTTGAGCCAGGCTTGTGTCTCCGGGTGGCAGCCCTGTAGCCCCTGCAGGCTGGCTTCTGCTCCGTGTGTGCACAGCCCGGATGTGAGCTCTGCACCTCTCCGAGGCACAAAACACAACGAAACTTGGATGGATAAGTAACTGAGCAGTTGGGTGCTGGGGGGGGGGGTGTTCCACAGTCCAGAAGCAATGAATAGGGTGACCCGTGCTGGCTGCCCATCACCACCAAGCTTCGCCAGCACCTCCCCCGGTTCCAGCCTCTTTGCCCTTCTCTGACTGGCTCTCTCGCCTCCAGCCTCCTGTGCCTTCCGTAGAAGCAGGGCAGCTTCCTCCCTCTTCTGGGGCCTCTGCACCAGGTCACAGGTCACAGGTCACACAGGCCTCCGGTGGCTCATGTTCACAGCACAGTTATCAGGAGAATCTTCCAAACAGTGCTGGTTCTCCACCCAAGTGGAGCTCTAGTGCCAGCTGTTAAGATAACAAAATTATCTACATCCTTGCCGGTTGGCTGGGAAATAACAGTCTCTAGGAAAAATGATCGAAGAATGGGAAGATGGTGTACATTTAGATCTGTATCTTACATCAAAGCAGTGAGTTTGTTAAGGGAGTTAAATACAATAAAAATCCACAGACATCCGTACTGATCTCAGCCATTCACATTAAAATGGCAGAAATAATAAAATTAAAATTGACAGGCTGAACAACATAAAAATATAAAACTCCAGAGAAGCAGGCAAAGTTTAAAGGTCTTGGGACAAATTCATATCGAATGTGACTGGCTTCTGCCTTTTCTATAAACAGCTCGAACAAACCAATACAAAGACCATTAATGCCTTTAATGCAAAAGAAAGCAGTGATTGAATACACTATTCTCTGCAGACAAATAAAAACGGCTAGCACAAGGCTCCCAATTCACTTTTAAAAGAATACCCAGTTCAGCATCACGATGTGATTCATTTTCTGTACATTTGCCAAAAAATTTTAATGACAGTCCTCAATGCTAACCAGTTGTGGTGGGAGAACAAAATCATCTCATGTTTCCTGCAATTTTATATTTCAAGAAACCTTCTGAAAAGCAATTGGGCAACAGTGATGAACGGCCTTAAAATGTGCATGTGTGTTAATCCTTCTAGGACTCTATCCTTGGTACACACATTGAAACCTTGAAACCTAGCATTTTGTCAGTTTTATTTCTAAGTATGAAAATCTGGTAATAATTCAGTTGTGTAATAATATTTGGATGGCTAAATAAATTGATATATCTATATAATGGAGTATCATGTAGATGCTAAAAACTATGGGTGGATTTAAGTGATGATTAGTCAACATTAATTTAAAAAGCAATGTTAAAAATATTCTATGTGCATCAAGATAGTTATTTGTAAGTAAACATGCATATATATTTATAATATTATTTAGTAAAATACTGGAAATATGCTGAGTCAATTGGATATCCACTTGGGAAAAAACACACCATATAAAAATCATTTCCAGATTTATTATGGGCTTAAATGTTAAAGGAAAGCCAACGAAGAATGTAGGAAAAAAAGAACATTTTCATGAAAATGAAGTAGGCAGAATTCTTAAGCAGAACCTAAAAGTGCTGAACCACAGAGAAAAAAGATTAGCACAATGTTTTAACATTCTGAAGAGCAAAGAAAACCAAGCCTCAAAGTAGGCGTGATTTTAATATCTATGTCTAAAGTGGATTCATAACCAGAATGCATAAGGAGCTCCGACAGATCAATAAGAAAAAAAATGAATGGGCTCGTAGAAGAACTGGCAAACCTTTGGAAGGGCACTTCACAAATGAGACCACTCAAAAAATGGCCAATTAACGTATGGAGACCATGGGGCGAGTGAAACAGTGGGAGAAGCAAAGTGCTGGCAGGACCCCAGACGGAGCGGCCAGCACGCTCATACGGCTGGTGGGGTTGTGTACTGCTACAGCCTCTTGGGAAACTGGAGCGTCTAAAGTTGAACACAGGTGTAGACAAATTGAACACAGGTATAAATGATCGGTGTTAGAGTCACACAGGAGAATACCATTCAGCAGTGGGAATGACCAACTGTATGCAGTGGTGTGGGTGAGTCTCAGAAATAGTGAGCACAAAAATCCATGTCCCAAAGCAAGTGTATGTGTAAATCCATTTATACAAAATTTGAAAACAAGCAGATCCAATCTGTGGGGCGAGGGGTTGAGGGGGAAGGGCTTCCAGGTACAGCTGAAGCTGTTTATTTTGGTGCCGGCTACATGAGTGTGAATGGTTTCTGAGAATTTATCAAGCGGCACTCTTAGGACTTACACTTTTTGTATGTCCATTGTACTTAAATGCTGGCTCAAAACCGTCAGAAATCAGCCCTGGAAGGGATGTACCTAATTCCAGTCTCTGGGTTATAGGGACTTCTTGCTTTCTTCTTTAGGTCCATGTTTTTCCAAGATGAGCATATATCACTTGGACTGTAAAACAATTTTTTGGTTTTGTTTTGCCTGTGTGACAGTCAGTCCACCTGTCTCCATCAGAACAAGCCCTGTGATGTGGCCCATGTGCGGGGAAGTATGGCCCTTAAGGCAGAGTGCACCGGGAGAAGTTCCCGCTCTCAGAGAAGGTCCACCTAGTAACACAGCTCCTGGTGAGGCCAAGGCCAGAACTTGAACACAGGCCCATCTCCAGAGGCCCGCAGAGCTGACCCGCCCTCCAGGCAGCACGAACCTCTTCCTTCCCATGGTGACTCACCCTCCGTGCCATCCTGTTCAGGCCAGGCTCTGACCCTGTGGGAAGCAGCCAAAGGGCACAGCATGTCCACAAAGGCCAGGGTGGCGTCCTCTTTGTTCATTTCCGCTCGTAAGGAGTAGGTCCCGACCTGTCCTTCATGGACTAGAAAGTGTCAAGGGGAACCAAGAAAAGAAAGGTTGCAAATATTCTAAATATGGCTCATTTCAAAGGGCGAGAGGACCAGAACCCGAAGACACGGATGCTGACACAGGCCTTTCGGTTTCATCTCATTTAGGCTCCAGTCAGCAAGCACATCCTGCCGAACACGTCCTGTTCTCAACGGCCTTTTGGCCTCAAACGTCCGACCACCTAACTCAAACTGGATTAAATAGCAAAGGCAATTCATCATTGCACCTGACATAAAAACACAGAGGTGGGCTTGACAGTCGGGCATACTGCGATCTGGGCTGTATTTCTGCCACTTTCTCAGCCCTGCCCACCGACCTGTATTTGCCAGGCTCTCCCCCACGATTGCAAGATGGCACCAACTGCCTCATTCACACCCAGCCAGGGCTGAGCTTCGGGCCAATGGAGCACGTCCGGGGTCCAGGAGATGGATGCTCTGATGGGCCTGGCTTACCCGCCCTGCCCACCGTTCCAGGGACACCTGGTACCCTGGGGCCGGGAGCAGAGTCCCCACCTCCCAGACTGCTGAATGGGGGGGTAGAGGTGAGAGGACGGTGGGCATACGACCCCACAGTCCGTTACGTGCACTGTGTGTACAAGGGGAAAGGGGAAATGGCTGTCTGACCTCAGACTTTTTACAGAACAAATTTGGAGTTCATCACTTTAAGATAATGGAGAAGACCAAAATAGGGTCTTTTCCTCCGAGACCCTCGAAGACTTCTTGGAAGAAAAATGCATGGACACCCACCTATACGGTGTGGGGCCTGTATGAGGTCCTGGAATAGAAACACGGAAGGGATACACCCCTTGGCCTGGAGGTGCCCGGGGGGCCCTCCCCCCTGGGGCTAGCAGCTCTCAGGCTCCATGTCCTGTGGGAAAACCTGAGGGGCTGAGGCCGTGGGCACAGGATCTCAGTGGTGGGGTGGGCTGCTGGGCGGCTGCCTCGGTGCCTCCGGCAGGGTGGCAGCTCAAGGACACCGAGCCCTGCCTCCTTCCGAGGTCTGCCAGGGTGCTCTGAATTCTCCTGGTTCCAGAGGACGGAGAGGCCTGGGCAGTCTCACAGGGCATCACTGGAAAGCCTCTCAGAGTTACCGTCCACGTTCTCTCTCCTCTGTGAAAGGCAGATGGGGCCACCAAGGCCTGGGAAAGGAAGGAAGGGGTTTGCTTTGGGAAGGACCATTTCATGCAGCCTGCCTCTGATTGTCTTCCCTCCGAGTGACCTCTTCTTTTCAAAGCACTGGCCTTTTCCAAGGTCTGGGAAGAACAGCCAAGAAAAGCTGGGGGCCGCCTTCTTTTAGGGTTGACCTTTCCTCCCTTTCATGTGGTAAAGAAGCCCCCTTTGAGGGCCGCAGTGTGTGAGCCTTTTAATTGCAGAGCTAATCCGAACCAGAGCAAGACCATCCGTGCCCCTTGTTTGCATTCATTCATCTCCAAAGGGGACCTGGGCCCCTCCCTTATCTGGTCTTGTATCAGCCGAATGACGCAAATGTTTACAAAGGGCTCAGCAAGAGATAGCACATTATCGCTCCTTCCCACCATAGATGGCGTGGGAGGGGCGTTTACTCTCTTAAGATTATTAAATCTTAGCTCCCAGTGGGTGAGGCAACCCAGACCTCCGAGAAACTGCTCTGCCCCCCGTGCATGGCCCTGCACAGCTGGGATGTCCCAGGAAAGAGAAGAAGAGGGGCCTCCCGCAGCACCGCCACCAGAAGGGGTGAGCCGAAAGGGGCAAGTGACACGGGGTCTTGTTTCAAAAGAGAACTGGATCCCAGGGTAGAGAACGTGCATAGGGGTCGGGTACTTGTTGCTGGAGCCCTGGGTTGGCTTGAAGTTCCCAGCAGGCCAGACGCTCTCTAGGTCAGACGAGACCGCATGGAGGTAAGCGAGAGTCCCGATTACCTGTGCGCACTGACCCGCCTCAGGCCAGCGGGAGTGTGGACGGCTGGTCGAGGTGGGGCGATCGCTTACAGACACCCTCTGCTTTTGAGCCAGGACCACGCTGATCTTGGGGCGGCCGCAGCCAGGGACTAAGCAGGACTGCAGTGTAAGGGCATTTCCACCCAACACAAGACGCGTCGAAGAGCAAGCCTTGCTCTGGAGCTCGCCGTGGGGCAGGCAGGGAGGACGTCACGTCCGCATCACAGGCCAGCAGCCCGCACTGCCCGGTCTGATTCTTCCCTTTTACTCTCAAAGCCATTATCCCCCAGAAAACTACTTCCCTCCTAACTCAACCCCAACATTTGCTCCCCAGAGGGTCCGACAGACACATCCCTGCCCAAACCCCGCCCCCAAAGCACTGCCCCCGCCCGGCAGGAGCCACGAAGAGGGCGACCAGCGGGAGCAGTTCCAGGGGCCGCCCAAAGAATGGCCGGAATGGTCTGGGGACTTGGGAAGAGAAGAATGTCCCTGGAATCCGGCCCTACCCAGATTCTCTCCCACCGAATGAATTCCCGAGACTGCTGGCTGAGGGTTGGGGGCATGCACTATTATCAAAGAGGAGGCCTTCCCAGCAGGCCCCCTTCAGGGGGGTGCATCCGAAGACACTGTCCTCCAGGGCAGCGCAGCAGCCCGTGAGCGGCCATTCTCAGGAGGAGGTGCACCCATACTTTCATGATCTCGGCATGCTAGGCTGAGCCGAAGACTCTAGACCTGGCCCTCAGCAGACAGCGCTTGAAAGGATGGGGAAGGCGCTTCTCACAACCCAGGTTTGTCTGTTTCAGCTCCAAACAGGACCAAAAGGCCCTCTTCCAAGGCCCGGAGTCAGAGGGCGTCCGGCTGCCCCGTCTTTGCGCCTGCGGGAGGCGGTGGGCTCCCGGCTGATGGCGCACCGAACAGCAGTCCCTCTTCATGCGCACGAGGGCTTGCCCCTGTAGCCCATCCTGTGTCTGCGGCACAGCCCAGCAGCACCTCTGTCCATCTGCTGATGCAAAGCATAAGATGCCTGTAAATGATACTGGAGAATTTGTAATTTAAAAAGCAATGTTATGTGGAAGTTTAGAGTTTTTAAAGTGAAATTCAGTATATAAGTGCATTCAAACCAGGTTTCCCTGATTTTAACCTTCACACCAAGCCTAACCCTAGCTCACATTTCTTGAAGCTGAGCCCAGGGAAGAGGACATATAAATGTCTCTCCAGCTCCTGACAGTTTCACAGGACTCTGGGGTGGGGCTAGGGGGAGCTGTCCATAATCTGGCATGTTATTCTATGAAAATATGTCTCGAAACCAAAAAGAAAAAAAAAATGATGGCTTGTTTTATTTTTATAGTGGGTGGGTTGCAGAAAGCCAGAAGGAAATTCTGTTTTCTAGACTGCTTATTTTACTTGGAAAAGGAAAATGCCTCTCGAATGGGTGTCCTTGAAAGCAATCAAAGCCAAGAAAAAGCATTGCCAAGTTTAAAAGGGCAAATATTCCAAAAAGAAATATTTAACAAATTGTTTTCAGGAACAGTGCCCATTGCCACCATAATTACTTATTAAGGTTTGGAAGTCTTGGTCATTGCAACGTGATAATATAGGAAGCAGAATAAAATGAATATATATGGTAAAAAGAGAAAAATACTCTTCACAAATAACACCAGTTAATACTTTCATTTAATAGCAGCTTAGGTAAGTAACCTTACAAGACAAATACATAAAAACCAATAGGTCTCAGTCAAAACAGCATCAAAAATACTATATACACAGAAAATATTTTAAGAATATGTGTGATATATAAATAAAACCTTAGCATTCTATTGGACATCAAGACAGTCAATATGAGGGAAGAAAAATATTTCTAGATGTAAAGATGAATAAAATATTCATACAGGATATTTGTGAATTTGGTGGAAATATTTGAAATTCATCTGAAAGACAATTGGCTTAGAATTCCAAAAGACAGTCAGAAAGATAAGAGTAATGGGTAAAATGTTTATGTTCTAGATGAGATCAAAATATATTTTAAGAAGAACATTAATTAAAACATTAGAATATTGGCTTAAAAACTAAGAGAGAATTAAAAAGAAAACAATTTGTAAGCCTCAAATTAGAGGCAATCTTATATAGAAATATAGTCAGTCATGTATGGAATTTTACATTTTCTAGTAACCACATTAAGAAAAGTAAAAGAAAATTGATAAAACTAATTTTAATAATATGTTTTATTTAATCCAATATATCAAAAGTATCTTTCACCAGGTGATCAATCTAAAAAAATAATTAATGAGATACTTTACATTCCTTTTTGCATTAGTCTCTGAAATTTGGACTCTCCACAGTTCAAGGGTCTGATAGCCGAACATGACAAGTGGCTGTCATGTCATTGCAGCATAGATTGCAGGGGAGATTTTCACGTTATTGAACAAATATCAGGAAAACAATGAAGAAGGAAAAGATATTTAATACATACTACGATGTCCTGATGAAGATTCGTAAAATCTGGGAGTACACCACACCATCAGCCATCTGATGCAATGAATTCTAGATGGTGTAGATTTTTAATTATATCAAAAACCAGCAGTTGGCTGAGCAGTGTCATGACTTGGGTGGGCCTGGGTGGGAGGCTTGCGGAGGGAGGGAGTGAAGAAGGTGATAGGATGGGGATGGATGACCCTTCTGCTAAGACAGATCCTGGGGACAGTGGCCAAGAGCTCAAGACCCAACAGCCAAAAGGCCGAGAGGCAGTTTCCCCAGTGACGCAGACAGCTGTCGGGCGAGGCCGTGTAGCAGAAGTTTCCAGGCTTGGGTCCAGTTAGAAGTCCTGAAGGGTGTTGGCCAGTGTTGGGCAATCTGTACACAGCAGACAGGGCCCCAGCCATGGAATCCCCACCGAGGAGAGTGGGGCTATGCTCCGGGGAGGAAGCTGGTATAATCAGGGGCCCCAAGAACTGGCAGGCTTTCATAGGACCCCAATCCTAGGGGACAGTGGGACATGCTCAAGACCGCAGACTTACTATTGAGTAGGAGAAGAAGGCAGGAGGTGAGCACCTCCGACAGATAACCATGGCTGTGCTGGGCTGAACTGTGTGCCCCCAAGTTCCTAATCCCCAGGACCTCCGAATGTGACTGTGTTTAGAGATGGGGTCTTTAAAGAGGTAATTCAGTTAAAATGAGGTCCGTAGGAAGGGCCAGCCGCCATGACGGATGCCCTTAGAAGAAGAGGAAATTTGGACCCACAGGGAGACCCATGTGAAGACACTACAAGATGCCATCCATCAGCCAAGGGGAGGCCTTGCGGGGAACCAGCTCTGATGACCACTTCAGCTTCGACTTTTGGTCTCCAGAATAATGCGAAAATAAGTATCTGTTGCTGAAGCCCCCCAGCCTGTGGCGCACTGGTGCGGCGGCAGGAGCAGACCTGTACAGGTGCGGAGCCTGAAGAGTGCGGTGAGAGGCCCTCCCTGGAGCCTGGTGAGCAGAAAGGAGCGGCCATGGGCTTGGCACACTGCAGCCTTACCGCTGTGTGTGGGCAAGCAGCGTATCATCCTGGAGACTGAGAATAAACATTTAACCTGGTTGAGAAGACTTGGCATAGGATGTAAAATAGGACTCAAAGCTAGGGGTGCCAGATGCAACACACGACATCCAGGTACATTTGAATTTCAAACAAGCAACAAGATTGTTTTCATGTAAGTATGTCCCAAATATTGCATGGGACATGCTTATTCCAAAAAAACATTTTGTTGTTTATCTGAAACTCACATTCACCTGGCCATCCTGTATTTTTATTTGCCAAATTGGCCAGCCTGTGCAAAAGCATAGTGGCAGGGCCAGCAGGTCTGGCAAGAAGTGCAGAGGAAGACGGAGCAGAGAGACCTGGGCTGGGAGCTGGCTGGCGGAGGAGGGCACCGCTCACGAGTGCCCGCCCAGGGTGGAGACTCCCTGAAGACTCAGCAACTGATGAAACTGCAGTGAAACATCAGACAGATTTAACTACAGCATGTCATAATGAAAATGCAAAGAAATATGTAAAAATATTAGACTGGGAGAACCATTCCTAAGATATGAAGGAGATGGTATCAATATAAATACTCAGTCCAGTCTGTAAGAAAAATATCAGAATCTCACTAGGCAAATAGGTAAATGATGTGATCAAACAATTTATACAAAAGGACCTACAAATATCAAACAAGTTTGCAAAATCCTGGTCCTTAATAATTGTTAAATGCGCTTGTAAAGAAAGAAAAGATCAACTTTCACCTTTTTTTAATACGGACTTTAAAAAAATGCCTAGTGAGGATGAAAAAGTAGCTCAGCTGATAATTCCCTTTTTTGGTGGTAGAAACAATTTAGCAATATGTTCACACTTGCTCACCCAATAAAATCATTCCTGGTTTTATCCTAAGGGTAATAATTTAAAATGAAGAAAAAATGATGGGAGATGGTGCTTTATTCCAATATCATAACTATAAAATTTTAAATTCATTTGAACAATGACTGGAAGAGAACATGGAAAAACATGAGCGTCTGATGCGAGCATAATTTTCTCTTTAAAATTTCCTTCTGGGTTCTCAATATAGTCTTCTTTTATAAGCACACATTTTAAGGGAAGAAGGAAGCAGCTCCTTTTTTACTGACAAAGATTTTTGGTGCAGGTGTGCCTGGCAGGAGCTACGCCGGGCTCATCACATGAGGATTTGGAGAGTGTCGGCCTTTGGAGGCCTCACACGTGCGCAGGGGACAGTTCCATGCGGCTCCCTTTGTATTCGCCATTGGTATTTGCAGGTCTATTGCTGG